ACAACATTCGTTGAGAGCTTTTAACTGTTACCAGGATAGGAAGCTGGCTGGTTCAAGCCGTCTAACTTGAATTAGCCTTATGTGTGGTATTGTTATGCAAATGAGCCAGATAAGCACAATCTGCACATGCTCAGAAAAACACAACTTTCCTTAGCGACACTTCATATCGGCTAGGCGTACATAAGCTAGGCCTAGCTTATCTTATTTTTGTTTGTTACGCACCACTGACTTAGGCTGTTTGTCATCACTTCAAGATGTCTACCGATTCGTGGAAAAGGCGTATTAAAATCCAAATATTGGAGTTTGTGAGCAATACATTTTAATTTTATATAGGTAAGTAGTAAGTATATGAATAATTTTAATGCACTAGTTAGTTGATAACTTCATTCCAATTTGTTTTGGGTCTTTTTTCTGCATTTTTATAAGCGGTTAGACATGGCCTAGGCCGGGTCTAGGCTAACCTAATCACATCAATTTAAAATCAAATTTGTAGACATACTTGCCTTATATCTTAACTTGAAGTTGATTTTATTGGTAGACTAGTTAGTTTTTAAGTGTGTAAGTATGATTGATTTGCATGCCAAGTGAAATTAGTACCCTTATTTTGCTTTGTTTTACCGTACCGTATTGGTCTAGCTGTACGCCTAGCCAATACGCAGTGTGGCCATGGTGTGGCTAAGGAAAGTTTAGTTTTTCTGAGCATGCGCAGGCGCTTATCTGGCTCATTTGCATAACAATACCGCACATAAGGCTAATTCAAGTTAGACGGCTTCAACCAGCCAGCTTCCTATCCTGGTAACAATTAAAAGTCCTTGGTATTATCATGTCGTTTATTTGAACACTGTATTCAAGTCAAATACATAAATTAAATTAAATGGATAAGATAATCTTAGAAATCTAAATGTTTAGTTGTGTATAGCATACCATTACACATCTGTTTTCCGATGTCAGTCTTCATACAGGAATAGTTATCGCATTCACAAAACTTCCCGGATATTATTTCATTTGGATCCTTGAAAATAGTTAAATATAATTTGTTAGATGTTGGTCATTGAGATACCGTACTAAACATATTTAGATTTTTACACACAATAAATTGAGATTTTTTTTTTCCAGAGACCAATTAAAAATTTTCTTACTGTACATTAAAAACCAGTAACTGTTTCGATAATTTATATTTAAAATGAAAATGATTAGGCCTAAATAATGGATAGTTGTTGATGTTGTATATGGGTCAGAATGAATTATGAAGTCAACTCGTGACAGAACAACATTAGAACAGAAACCCCGATAATGAAGTTACCTGGCGTATATTGCATTGACACTGCCCACAGGTACAAGAGCCACGGCCTGAGCAAATTTGAGTTGAATTATTGCTATATTGTAAGAAATGTTGATAAGATACATTAAAATGACTATAAATAAAGTGTTATAGTACAAAGTAATGTGCCTAATATTTTTCTCAGGTCTGTTAATAATATTAATGAAGGAAATATACATCAGAGTGACGAAAGGAAAGCTGTCATAGAAGTCTAAAAGAAGGAAATCAATAACATGCCTATGACGTTATCAAGTCAACAACATATCTGTGTGAAATTAATATACTTAAGAGTATCGGTATGATGTATCGTTGGAAGTTGAAAGGGTGTATCATTTTAATTGTGGTTCAGTTTTAAGCAGCAGATCAAACGAGAATATGTTCCATCTTTCATAAAATTGTATAAGAAGAATCTCAGAAATTATACAGAGGTTTCTATTAAAGCTGAGTCAAGAATATGCATAACAAACGAACTAAACTATTAAATCTTGAAGACTGTGCAGCATTTTCATTCTTACTAACAGTCTTAATTTATATTGTATTCATTGACACTCTTATATTTAGGGTTCGATTTTAAAATTAAGACAATAATAATGACACAATTAAATCAATTAAGCTCTAGTGTAAAAGTGTTTATTTAACATTATTAAGCTATATACAAGGAAATAATATCAGCTTATATTATATGAAATATTATTTTCTCAACTACCACATATTTGCAGTGCATTCTTTTAGGGGGAGGCAAAGTCCGTTGGTCATTCATTTTATGTATTGATCACTAACTATACCACAACACAACTTTTTTTTTAAATGCCAACTTACGTCATGCACAATTCAGGGTTTTCAGAGGCGACATCGTTGGTGGCGCTACACTGACAAAAATCTCCGAATCTTCCAGGATTACATTCACACAATCCACACGATAACGATCCATTGCCGTCTGTACAATACAGACTATTTGGAATCTGAAGCAACAGTATGAAATAATGAAAATACAAAGACACAAAAGATGATCGTATTTCGATATCGTTGATTGTGAATACGGCGATCAATAGCCCAATAAGCAGCCTACGCTTATTATTTGATGAAGGTTCCCCTAATGCAGGAAAATATCATAATGTTCATAAATTTGTACGGTATATTTTATAGGATAAAATACAGTAGTTCATAGAGCAATATGGAAAATGACTGCCACAGCAAATATAGACTTAAAACACTGGTAGTACTTCAAACACAGGCTTCGTGCATACGCTACTTTTCTTCAAGTAAAAATGTGCTGCAAACTCTTGAGTGTGTTTAGTCATATCAAACTAATCTTTAAAGTACAGGTACTGCCATTTGCAGTATCATAGTTGTGATCATCAGACTAACACGACTGGTCTATATTTACATGGTGAGTTGTAACTAAGAGAAGCTATATACTTACAAATGCAAACAGTAATAAACAAAAACAATGTAAATATAATTTAAAAAAATATATGCCTATAGGCCTATTAAGTATATAAATAAAATTAAACATATGCAATCAATAGAATAACATGTTCAACATTTTGAAACTAAGACTTTAAAAGTGTGTTAATATTGAATAACATATTAATAAAATTATGTAAATACATTATTAATTGTTGTATATTGTCAAAATGAATGCTCCCAAGTTTGCTGTTTATGACTTTATGGTGTTAGACATCATTCGTCACCTTATACAATTGAGTTGATGATTTTTTTCTTTCTTTTATTTGACACCATCATAAATAGGCCTATACATTATAATATACAATAAAAACGTCAGGAAGCAAACATTAAAGAGACGGGAACAAAGAGAGGCAAAATAAATGATATTCAAAGATTCACATTAAGTAGGCCTGCTGTGGGGAAGGGAGGGGGTCAGTGATGGTAAAGCTTTAATGACATCGCAGGCATAAATATACTTTACGAAGACCATAGAGCCACTATTAATTATTTATTTAACTATAATTTCAAATCTTTCTACAAGATCAATTGTCTATAAAATGCTAACATAAAAAAAATTCAAAGTGATGTGCTTTACCAAACCCTGTCAATAAACACAATACAAAACAAAACCGTTCAAATATAATAATAAAACATAATAAAAAAAGTAAACATATTTAACTTAATACCTGCACAGATCGCCAAACTAAAAGAATTGAATAATATCTGAGCAGTAGGTTGCTTAAAATTTAAAAATACATATAGAAATATAATAATAATAATTATTATTAATATTATTATAATCCTGTATATTCGTTAAAGATAAAAAAAAAAGAACTTACGCTTCTACCTGAACATTCACAGTCACAGCTACTTTGAATATTGAACAAAACATTTTCTTCAAATCCTACTGGCCGTATAACCAATCTAAATAATTGAAAATATAATGATAATAATAATAATTTTTATTATTATCGTTTTTGCTATTGTTTCTATTAATCATGTTATTTATTTAAATTAAAAGTACCATTTCATTATATTTGATTAAAATGGCTATAATTAATCATAAATGCGTTTTAAATGACTGTTTCTGTTGTATATATCCAGGTGCTTTAATTCGATGGTATTTAAGACAAATGAAATAACTTGGAGTTCTTACTCATATCCTAATATTTGTTTATCGTTTATTTTCTGATATGGCTAATTTATTCGGTTTTTTTTTTTTACTAATTCATTTGTAAGCTTATCTTATTGTTTTCCATTTGATATGTCATTTTGTTTTCTGTGTTATTGTAGAATTCAACCTACTCTTTAGTACCATTGAAACATTCTGTTATTGACACCTTTACTTGAAAGCTGACAGTTGTTCCAAGACCAACGTTTAAGCACTTGCTGTCTTTCGGTGAGCCACACTTTGAAGTGATCTTTACTTGAATTGGGTCTTCTGTCTTATCAATAATAAGCTGGATCTCAGATGTTATTTCCTTGGGGAAAAATGTTTAAAATAGTGACTAAAGGTACTATGCCACTTGCCTTGATAGCGAGGTAGCAGTTTTTACTCTAAATCGTCTTGCGGTAATGCTATAAATATATACAAATAAATGTTGAACGTTAGAGAAGAGGAATCTGCGAGTGTGAAAAAACAGGTGTCCCGACCGGAAAGAACCTGGGACCCTCTTCTGTCTATGTAGACGCCTTATTCAAGTAGGTTAGAGTTCTCTATTATATCATGATTTATTTATAAAAAGTTTTTGTAGATCTAGTCTTGCTGTCAAATGCTTATAAAAGGGCGTATCTGTTATTAGCCATGCATCAGAGATTATTAATGTCAAACTACGTGTGTGCATAATTGTGAAGTATTATACACTTTAATAGAGTTTGAATTCGCAACAAAGCCTCAATGATCTAGTTGCCTAAGTCGGCTGCATAGACAACAGAAGGTCCCGGGTTCGATTCCTGATTTGAGCACCTAAAATGTGCATGTGAACACAAAGTTGAGGCCTGAGCGTATGACAACACCTGGGCTGACCACAAACCTAAGCCTAGAAACAAGAGACTGGGTAGAAAAGGACATAGAGCGGAAAGGAAGAAGGGTAGACCTAGACTTTTACACGGTAATACAAGCAGTATTCCTTCTATTACAAACAATCGCCGATCAACAGGTAGACCTAAGCCCCCCAGATAAGCAGGTTTGGACAATTTGGTGATTTTAAACTCGGGAAGGTGGGTTGGAATATCCCGTCATTGTTTATGACGAATGCTGTATCCATTTCTAACAAAATGGACGAATTAAGATTCCGAATTAAAAATTGCTCCCCGGATTTTATGGCTATTACTGAGACTCACTTTCGTCAAGGTAATGTATAATGTACTTGTATCGTGTCAATAAACAATGTTTACATTGCCGGAAGAGATAGAGAGGATAGAGCAGGAGGTAAAATTATTTTGTATATCAAAGACTCGCTGCCTTTTAGGCGCCATTGTTTTCTACATGATGAAAACTTTGAGACACTATGGGTTACATTATTCCCGAAAAGACTACAAAAAAGATTGCAAATATTACCGTTGTGTTGTTTATCACCACCTGGATCCAACGACAGAGCAATATCAAATCACATCATACATTGAATGTATGGATACTATAAGATTGAAGCACCCTGACACGAGTTTCGTCATCACAGGAGATTTTACTCGTATGCAGGATAATCAGCTGAAACATTACCCCCTACAGTAAATTGTGACCAACACAAGAGTGAATGCCAAGCTTGATCTAATTTACACTAATATGGCTGATTTCTACAGTGAACCTTGGATTGGGGTATCATCAAGTAGATCTGTAGACAAAAAGCTGATATAGGCCTACTGTATGTAACGTACCCCCTACTCTTATAACTTACAAGAAGAGGTTAGTTACACAGCATGCTAAAGATAATTTCCTATGTGAATTAAATGATGTGAAATTGCATCAACTCTATCGCTTTTCTTCATGCAAAAAACAATATTCTTTTTACAATGCTATCCAGGAACAAACACTTTCCTGAAAAGCTTTATAAAAAGACACTTTTTCAATCTAATTATAACATCATCTTTGGAGCCTCTTGTCCCCTCTACCATAATCATCCAAAAGAAGTCCTACCTGACTACCTGTGCATCCCTGTGGAAATGATGGAAAGGAAGCTTAGATCAGTTCAGATAAATAAAGCGGCATGCCCTGACAATATTCTAACATGGATTCTTTGTGATGCAGCGCATATCCTCGCTGGACTTCTTTGTGCCATTGCCAACTCCAGCCTCAGAGATTCATACATCCCTGATGAATGGAAGAAGGCGAATATAGTGCCAATACCGAAGTTAAATCCCCACACCGCATAGAAACAAATTTACATCTCTATTTCTTCCTCAGTGGCATCCAAGGTAGTTAAGAGCTTAATTGGTGGTTTTGTGGGACCAAATGAAGGACAGGTTAGCATCACAACTGACTTATCTTATATTACACTTTTGGCATATGGCTATTGATAAAGGAGAAGTTCGTGCTCTCCTATTGAATTTTAGTAAAGCATATACTGTATGATTGATCACCAGTTAATTAGGAATAATATGAACACTGACCGAGCACTTGTGTCATGGGCTCAAGCGTACCTTACAGGCAGGAAACACAGGGTGAAACTCCAAGATACTTTCTCATCATGGGTCACATCAAAGGGGGGTGGGGTATACCCCAGGGGTCTTGGATAGGACCAATCCTATTTGTTGCTTTTATAAATGATCTCTAAACAGATCTACCAATTATGAGGTATATGGATGATACCACCTTTTACCAGTCTATAAATAAAAACACAATTTGCAAAGTCCAAGAAAACATGAATTCTAAAATGGTGTGAAGATAATGGCATGAAACTCAATGAAAAAAAAAAAATCGGTTGAGCTGCGTATCACATGTAAAAGGGCCCCAAGTGAATTTGACCCACTCACTGTAAATCAAAGATCTCATAATAATAAGATAACGTTCTCGCTGTTTGCGTTAAACAAATAAAAGCGTACAATTCACGCAGAAAACAATAGAAAGTAATAATTGTAATTGAAAGAGGGCGTCCTATTTGTTACTATGTTCCAGAATTTGCACCATAGAGCTATTAAACAACTAGAGTGCTGAGAAGATGGCGAAGCAATGCAGAGCTGTGTATTATGTAGCCCTACTCAACAAGATGGCCGCTGTAGGAACGCGCCACCTTCATGCCTAGTATAATATTATAACCATAAATAAGCCATCCGACAAACTATTATTTCATTAATCAATATTATTAATAATATTATTAAATGATTAAACTAGCGTAGGCAAAACGAGGCCAAGTGGAGTATCTTAATATTAAAAATAATGTACTAAGGAATCAAAATCAAAATCATATTCCCTACAACTCAACACCGCAACGCTCGAGTTATATTTTGTACTCAAAACTTTCAAGGTTAGTCTGGTCGATTTAGGTCAAAATAATGGGCTACCGGGAAAAATTGTTAACAAGGCTTTTTTGGTATCAATCGATGCACACGGATGTCTTCTTTAACATGTAAAAACTCCTCTTCAATCCTCCTTGGGGGAGAAAATTTATAGCCGTTTAACTGAAGCCCTCTATTTTCAGTTAAACTTCAATGATTTTTCACAGATAAATAATTATACTTCGAGCATAGACCTACACATTATGAGAAAAATGTTTGAAGGCTTTATTTATTTTTATTTAAACAATATTTTGTGAGGGTGGTCCATTCAAGGCTTGTAGCCAGGAATCCATAAAAGGTACCTAGGAGAGCCAGAAGGAACATATACACCAAATGATGAGGTTCACTGGAGAGGTTACAATGGTGAGTGGGGTGCAAATGAATGAAGTCCAGCATGTAAATGGTAAATGTCAACGTTTTAATAGTATTTAATGCAAGTTGGTTTGGTTTGGTTTGGTTAATCAGCGGGGTTTGCTCAAAAGGAGGAGTTGCAATAGTGTGGCGCTAAATATGGGCCAGGGGACAATAATTTTCCCTACCCAGGGACGTATCCAGGAGGGGGGGGGGGAGCCGTGGGAGCCACGGCTCCCCCCTTTTGTACACAGTGTTAATATTTTAAAGCTTATTCTTGAGCCAATACAAATTCTTTCCTGGGATCACTCAAAATGAACTTCTAAACATGTAAATATGCATCAGTACACGTTATACATAAGCCTAATAGAACAAATTGGCCTAAGCGTGATTTTAAAAAATCATAAATCTCAGGCCAGGTCTTTTAAGATAGAAATGCGATACTGTGGTTCAATTTCGTTTTTATCCTTTTGCAAGTTTCTTTAAATGTTTGTTTAATAATACTA